GCGGGGTGTGAGAGTCCCGGGGCGGCCGTGCGGGTGGCCCGATCCGGTCACGGTGAGGCGGTGGTCTGCAGGAGGGCTCCGGTAACAGCTCCCGGGCAGCGGGCGGGCGCAGGCGTGCGGCCTCTCCTCCCCGCGGGTATGGGCGCCTGCCACAGTCAGCGTGGAGATCGCAGCCAAGGTGATCAGCAATAAAGTTGCTAAATAACTGGGGATGCGTTGTGTTGTTCGATTTGAAAACAAGGAGTTGTGATAGATGAGGTGTCTATTGAACAGATGCAAGCTGGGGGCAAGGAAGACTTTGAGGCTCTTTGTGTAAGTAGAAGGGTTTCCCCCGGGTGCCTTTGCACTGGCTGCCATTGCAGCGTTGAAGGGCATGACATCAGGAGGTGAGATCCACCAGCTGGCACAGCCGAGCTTCATCGACGACTTATCCTGTAACACACGTGGCAGGGGCGAGAGAGATGGGACTCCGCCACTCTCCACGTCTAAACAACTCCTGTATGTTCAGCAAGTGTTCTCGGGCATACTGGTGCATGCCAGCCACTGCTGCGTCCAGAAATGACGTAGTTGGTGATCTTGGAGAGTGTTGTGTAGGTTATTCACAGACTATCGTACTGGAAAGTAAAAAAACCCTGTGTTCTACTAATGTTTCTGCGGCTATTAAAATATACTGGTTAAGGAAACCTTCCTAGGTTCTGCTGCAATACTGCAGCAATAGAAAATCGGTTAACTCTAGCCCTACCAATTTCTTCGAGGCTTAACTAAAAAGACTTTGTTCTGCAAAGAACTGTCATGAAAAAGCTACCTAGCGTGCTTGGATTGCTTTTCGGAGGACAAAATAATTGATAACAATGACCCAAACAGTTCTTGGCAGTGAAGGGTGTAGAAATCTGGATTTCTGCCCTTGAATGGGCTCTCTTTTATGTGGTAACCTTTGCTTATCTTGCTGATAGATGGACGTTATCATCAATTAAAAAAACCTGCAGCTTTCTCAAAAGAAGCTCAGGCAAAATAGTAGCGAAAAGCGAAATGGAAGGAGCCGCTTCGGGCATTATTCACAGTCTGACTTTAATTGGCTTGCAGGAATGGAGAAATGGTGTTTATGCACAATCATTAGCATAGTGTTCCTAAACAATAAGCTTAGCGATTACTTTTTTTTTTCCCCTTTGCTTATGTGGCCTATAGCATGACAGTTATAACGGTAAGGGAAGATCCATCTATAATTCTCTGGGACACCCAAGATGGTTTAATCTGAATCATTATTTATGAGGTCTGCGTGAGTTGCTTGCCCTCCGCAATGAGCGGGTGATTATATATGGTCTTTGCTGCTAGCAGTTACAGCAATGAAATTATATTTGAAAGAAGTTAAGAATACCGGATGTTCCTCTTTAGACTTAAATATTAGGCAATTACAGCAGTTCAAAATTTAATATTTACCAGTTCTTATTTGTGGTAATAATTAAAGGGAGCAACATACAGAAATTGAGTGATAAAGATTGTTCAAAATACTGTGAAGATATGAAACGTGAAATAGTATGAAACTTTTAAAGACAGATAATTTTGTTTCGTCAACATTTAAAAAAAGGTTTGCAAAGCTCTTCCTTTAGTGCTTTCAGATGCAAATCTAATATCACTTCACCTTTAAAATTTTGCTTAGAAAGAAGCTTGACTTTTCAGTACTGAGTTTTGCAGTAGGACTTTGGAGAAACACAGTATTTGGATATTGATGTTTTAGTGGCAGGATGCTTGTAATAAGTGCAAAATGTGACTATATATACACATGCTAAACAACATGCATAAATAACATCAGTAGAATAAAAGGAAGCGTCAGCAAATTTTATAATTTCAACTGAAAATACTGGCCTGTCCTGAACTAACTTTGTAAATCTCTTGCCCTATTGCTTGAGGAGAATAAGTTTCTTCGCACACTTGATGTACTACTGCAATGAAGGAAGAACATAACCAACTTACAAATGTTATCAAACTTAGAAAAAGGCAGGATTTATGGATTGCTGCTTTAATAAACAGATAAGCTTAGTTTTTCACCCCCAAAAATGCTAGAAAAAATAAAAACTTAATATGGAAAGGTAATATGAGTCTTTCAGTCAGTGTTGCAGGAGAAAGGAGATGCTGGTGCTGTCTGTTGAGCGCTTCAGCACTGCTGCCCTCTTCCAGCTTCTGCAAAAGCAACAAAACTGCCTCCGTTCCTGTGTTCTTGTTTTTTGTCCCTGCGGCTTCTCTCTTTTTACTGCCAAAAAAGAGAAGGCATGGAAACTCAGTTTCTCCTGCTTGCTCTCTACTGCTGATCCACTCTACTTGATGTAAAAATGTGTGCGTTGTTAGTCCACCCGTACGTATTAGAGCTAGCCATGCTTGTGAACAGTTAGCCAGCGTAGTCAGGAGTCACCGCATGCTCCAGCACAGCTAGATCCATGTGGAGGGGACTTGTGTCCGGTGACATCGCAGCTTGTAAGATGTGCCATAAAGTTGATAATACTGGTACATGGAGGGAGAAGGTGGAAAGGTGAAAAGGCTTCACTGGAATTCCATAAGGGAAAGGTTTCCTCCCTGTGGACCAGGGGAAGGAGCCTGGTACAGCCCAGTTGCTAACGAGCCTTAGTGACTGTCAGGTCCTCTCGGCATCAGTCTCTGCGTCTCCTCATGTTGTTCTGCTGTGGAGGAAAACACTGAATGCAAGAGATTAGGGAGCCTGAGATGGGGAGAGGCAGTGCAGCATCTGTTTGTGTTCTAGGCACACGCTAAGGGGTTTTAGCTTTACGTTTTTGTGGATCTGCTGGAACAATGTCCTGTGTCCCGTGAATGTGTTTACCACTCGGTGTTTCTTGCTGCAGGAGATGCTGCTTTGCTGCCAGGTGAGAATTCAGTGAGAAATTAGGTACTTCAGAAGTTACTGAAAAATAAACAGAAATTGAAAACAATTAAAAAGTGTTTCTGTGTAGGAGCAGCAAGTGAGGGTGCAGAAAGCTCAAATAAAACTTTGTCTCTGCTCTTACATAACTGCTTTGCAGCTGTACATCTCTTGTGATAAGGTGTGGTGCGAAATTTAATCTACAATGGCTGCAGTGATTGCTGCCTACAGCTTTAGTTACTGTTTCTGTCCTGCTTCTGGCAGGGACAACTGTGGGGAAAGTGTACCGAGTGCTTCAGCTCATTGCATGTCATTTTTTGCTGTCCCTCTTGTAGGGATAGCAGTTTTGGGAGAGAAAGAAGTGGATAAGTACCACGTAAAGTGCTTAAATCACAAGAGGCCTTTGGTTTCCCTCTAGAGACCAGTTTTGCAAATCATTGCCAGATAACTTCCCCATTCTTAAGACAAAATCTTGTTTTCTTTGATTCTATTCTTACCTTTTAGACTGTTCCTCTCGTGCTAACAGGTCTGGGCTTGTGTTCTTTAGTTGTCATTTAGCTGAGCCATTGATACTGCTCTCTTAAGAGAGCTCTTAAAGTAAATCTTGCATCCTTTTTAATCTTGAGATACTGAGGTTTTATTAATTCAGTATAGATATATTCTAGGAATAGTCTTGAGGTTTGGGCAACTGACAGAAGCACGTTTTTTTTAAGCATCCTCCAGAAAATTTCTACTTGCACCTTATCACTGAGTTTTTTTCAATGCCCTTGATTTGAAGTGTTTCTCTTTTAACATATTTCTTAGGTTAATTTCCCTGCATCCATTAATTTGTATATTCCTAGTAATGCTCTTTCCTTAGAGATTAAAAAAAAAAAAAAACAAAAAAAACCAAAAAGAAAGCCACCACCAGAAAACTTTGTGCTGCCGTTCTGTATTCAGATGCTTTTTGCAGTGTATCACTGAATATTTGGATTGAGTGTCTGGTACTTGGTTTCTCTCTCTTGTTGATAAAAATCAGATGATGACACGATCACTGTAGAGACTGACATGTCGCTTCTGATATGCTTAGCTTTTAGTCTTGGTTCAGTCAATACATGTATGTGTGGAGGAGCTTTTACTGGTTTCTTAGCGCTGAAGGCTAGGGGTAATGTACAACATGCAGTAAGTGCCTCTTGCAGGTGTGTTCTATGCTGTGTTGGACTGCTGCCTTTTCAAGGACACTGAAAGTTTCGTTTGTTTTTTATTTTTGTTTAAAGGGGGGATTATTTAGCAACAGTGTATTGAGCGCAGCATTTTCTCATTTTCTGAGAATTGTGTTGTGTGTATTACAGACATTGTGCTGCACTGACAATCAGATATGTGGTGATTGACTTGAGTTTTGAACATCTGAAATGAAAACCATAATAGTTGAGCATGTAAGCGTGTTCAGTATGACTACGATAGCAGTGGCCACATTTTTCAGCAGGGTCATGTTTTTATCATGCATCGGGCTCAAAGAAATACTAGTAGAGTGACTAGATGGTATATTAATTACAGTTGCTATATTCAGATGCCTAGATCTAGATTTGAATTAAATGACAGAATTAAATCTGACTGAAATTCTTCCATCAAACTTCCTTGGGTTGAAGTAGTGTGTAGAGATTCTGCTCCTTTTCTCACCGCAAGGCCAGCCAAGCAGTGGAAGAGGCTCCCAGGGCAGCTGGGCAGGCTCCATCCATGGAAGTCTTCAAGATGTGTCTGTGTGAAGCCTTGAGTGACCTGCTCTGAGCTGACCCTGCTTTGAGCAGGGGTTGGACTAGAGACCTTCTGAAGCCCCTTCCAACATTAATTATCCTGTGATCCTGGATTAGGACCTGGTTGTGCTAAGCATTATGCAGAAGGGTGTTAACGCTGTCCGTAATCTCCTGTCCCAAGGTCATCGTGGCAGCTGAAAATCTTTCTTAAAGGCATGCCCGCAGAAGTAATTTCAGTTGATGTTACGTGCTCGGTGCCTGTTTTCTTTATCTGAGACAGATCTGCCTTTTTCTTTTGCAAGCCTTTTCCTGTCAATTTTGCTAATCCCTACTTTAGATTCATAATGTTGATAAGCTTCCATTCAAATTATCACTAATTGTGAAATAATACATACTGTACGTAGATATGGAAATGTGCACACAGGAAAGAATAAAAGCAAAGATAATACCTTGAGGATGCTTTAGTCTAATATAGCCAAAACTGTCTACAGATGCAGCAGAGGTTTATAAGAGATTCAAGCAGGAATTGTCATTTTAAGGTGAGCTGGGCTAATGAAAGCAAGATGGTTTCTTAAATAATATTGCTGGGTTCTGGCAATAAAGATTCAGATGGGGTAGTGTGCAGGACAGGTGAGCAGAACCCAGTGAACTAGCACATTGCTTCAGAAATTTGAAGAATATTGCAATCCTGAAAGAGGGAAACATTTTAGAAGGTATGTTTCATACAAGACTGAAAAAGGAGAGGGGAAGAAACATTGAGGTATTTTAAAGTAGTACTGAGGCTGAGTAAACTTTATGCTTAAAGTTTGTGGACACCCTAATTCTGAGTTAAATTCCAGTAGGGATCAGAGAGCCCAAACTGAGAACAAGACTGCCAGAAAATTCTAACTTAATTTTGGAGGTAGCTTTTGGGATTTACCAGACTGCAGAACATTAATTGCTTCAAATTGCAGAAGGAAAAGAGAGAGACAGCTCTCTTAATGACAGGTGACGTCAATTTTGGTGATCATGACATGCAGGATTTCAGTATCCTTGCATTGTCGTTAACAGCGAACTGAGTAAGCAAACTGCAGACCCTTTGGAAAACTGAAAAGCAACGTTAAGTCTCCCAGCAAAGAGTCTGCAAAACGCAAACAAAGTGCATTTATGTGAAGGCTGACAGATGAAAATCCAGTGCTTAAAACGCTACCCTCCTTGGGGCAGAGCTGCTGCGTAAGAAGCAAAACTGTTTTACAGAAGCCCATCAAAAGTGCTTTAAAAGAAGCAATGTGTGCAATATTCTGTACAATGAAGAAAAGGTAGAAGAGTTTTTTTGCTTGAACAGCTCCTAAAGCTGCAGCCAGCTGTTGTAGTATTGTCTTGATGGGAGCAGCACTCGGGTTACGTGTGCATCTGTGGCCAAGCGTAGCACCAGATGTTGCCTAAAAGTCTGAAAGGAAAACCCAACCCTGTGGCCACAGGCAAAGTGCAGATTAGAGAGAGGTTAAATTGCTTGTGTTTCTGGGGAGGTATAAAAACAGCTCGAGATTGCTTCTCCCTCCCCTTCTCTCTTCAGGCTGGAAAGAAGGGAGCTGCGTGGTCTCACCGGCAATGACCACGCAACCCAGAGAAGTTGTGGATGCCCCATCCCTGGAAGTGTTCAAGGCCAGGTTGGATGAGGCTTTGGGCAACCTGGTGTAGTGGAGGGTTTCCCTGCCCATGGCAGGGGGGTTGGAACTAGATGATCTTTAAGGTCCCTTCCAACCTTAACCATTCTATGATTCTATGACCCTTTGGGGCAGAGGTAGTTTTCCAAAGACACCCAGGTACCCACACAGCTGGTGCAGGTCAGCAAGTGAATCGAGCCAGGTTCTGTCTCCCATGGGGCTGTGTGCGTATCCTGGCAGCCAGGCCGGCTGCTCGGGTCGGAAACAGCTGGGGTGGGAAGGGGGAAGGAATGGAAGTGCTGGTCTGGAGAAGGAACAGCATGAAGTGTAGAATGGGAATGGAAGAGCTAGTTTTCTAGCAAACAGGTAAATAAGCAAATGGTAGCAGAGCCATTTGATGTTAAACGTCGCCAAGAAGATTTGGGGCAAAGGTGAATCTTGTGCTGTGCATCTAAACGTTTTCAAAAGTATCTTTGGATTTGTGTGCCAGTGTTGAAAGAGTTTGCGTGTGCTGGGAACCCTTTCTCCTTCCTTAATTTTTGCCTTAATTCCTCTCTACAAAAGGAGTCTCATTAAAGCACATGACTGCAGAAATACCACCTTACATGAAAAAGAAAGCATGGGAGCTAAATGTTCTGCAAAAGTTTATTTTTTAATACACTAATTTTCAAGTTACGCCTGCAACTGGAAAAAGTCAAGATTGTTCAAAAGTTTTGAAAGGCCGGAGACTTGAGTTCAAACTTACATTTTGCACTGCTAAAATAACCCCTTTAAAAGCAGAACTGTTGTCTGCCATGATTTTATATAGATCTAAGCTTTCTACTGAGCACCTCATGATAGTGTTTAAGGAAATTCATTCTTCCTTTAGAAAGGCAAAATGTAAATGGTAACAGGTTACATGGGCTGGAGCATTTGCTGTTGCAAGAATGCACATATATCATAGAATCATAGAACAGTTTGGATTGGAAGGGACCTTAAAGATCATGACCAGGGACACCTTCCACTACACCAGGTTGCTCAAAGCTTCATCCAACCTGACCTTGAACACTCCCAGGGATGGGGCATCCACAGCTTCTCTGGGCAGCCTGTTCCAGTGCCTCACCACTCTCCCAGTAAAGAATTTCATCCTTACCTCTAATCTAAATCTACCCTCTTTTGGTTCAAAGCCACTGCCCCTTGTCCTATTGCTATACGCCCTTGTAGAAAGTCCCTCTCCAGCTTTCTTGTAGGTCTTCTTTAGGTACTGGACGGCTGCTAGAAGGTCTCTCCAGAGCCTCCTCTTCTCTGCATGTTGTGTACTGTGGCAAAACGTGGATGCTAAGCCAGCAATGTGTTGGGTTGCTGTTTACCTGTGGCAAGTCCCCACTGAAGAGGCGCGAACTTCCAAGGGATGTAGGAGGCATCTTCACCTCTTTCACCTCTGTGGAACCAAGAAGCACCATACATTCGATGTTTCCGGGTGGTGGGACAGAAGGCTGCTGGGGAGCCTTGGGCCACAGCTTTGGTTCAGAGCAGCACTGTGAGACCTCTTTACTTGTTCTCAAAGTAGGTTTTCTAGCAAATGTTGAGACTTGCCAGCAAGGGACTGCTGCTGATCTTGGTAGTTTTGCCCCTGTTGGAAGGAGGAATGCAGGAAGGGCAGGCTTCTCCCAGACTCCTTCAGCTGAAACGTGGTCAGTGTCTTCCAGGACAAAGGTTCCTAGCAGGGGAGGGAAGTACTGGCACTTTTCGCTTCTCATTCTCCTGGCAGTCAAATTAGCTATTAAACTGTGACCCAGTCTCTAAAGCCTCAAGGAGACTTGTTGGCTACCACGTACGAACGTTCAGAGAGGAGCACTGAAGGGTGCCCAGAGAAGTGAGGTGGGACAGAAGCAGGTAAAGCAAAGGAAAATGTGACTTAGAAGACATCAAGGAGTGACTGATGCCTCAAGGAGGATGAGGATGCAGAGCCTGTCCTGAGGTCTGGTTGGGAAAAGTTTGCCAATGGGCTTGACAACAGCTGTCTGGGTGGAGGGTAATGGTGAGTGAAGGGTGTGCTCCATTTTTTGCATTAGGTTTTGAGGCTTGTTCAGAGAAACAGGTGCCTTGGCCTCGTCTGGTGAGACTCTCATGGGAACAACACGAGGTTGTTACATATGTGCTGCGTGAGCCAAATGTTTTTTTGCCTCTAGTTGAGTTTTTGGGGAAGATTCACAAGAGTTTCGCTATTTTCACTGTCAGTAAAGCTCAGTAACGAGGGTGAGAATACTGTTCCCAAATGGCAAAATATTCATACTTTGTATAAATTGGTCTCATAGTTCTAAGTTGATTACAGTGCTGTTTTTCATCAGTAGCTGCACTTACAGTCTAACAAGTGTACCTGAAAAGTTTCTTTCTTCTGGTTGCAGATGGATGGTGATAGCTCTACAACGGATGCTTCTCAGTTAGGAATTGCTGGAGATTACATTGGTGGTAGTCACTATGTGATACAGCCTCACGATGGTAAGAGTTGTAGCAGTAGATACTGCTATTCCTCTGTGTGTGTAGATATATGTATTTTCCCTTTGCAATTCTCATCTAGTTCTCTGCTGTCTTCTGCCACACTAAGAATTTGTAATTGTTTGTATTCATAACGCCTCACTGTATAAAGCATTTTTTCAGCAATCTGAAGGTGGAGGTTGGATTTTTCAATGTTGACACTGAGTCCTTTGGGCTGATGACAAAAAAATTGATGTTCTAGGAAACAATTTTTGTTTTGCCATGACATTAACAATGTTTGGTGTTCAGCAGCCACACACATTTCTGTGCATAATATGATAAAGATGATATTGAACACCGATAAGGTAGCCTGGTGTTACATCTATTTTTAAAATTATTTTTACAATGTTAATACACTGTGCTTTCAAAGGTCTTCGTCCTTCAGTGTAAGATTTTAAACTGACTTAATTATTGCCTACTGTCTATCAAATAAAATACAATTTCTGTTAACTTTTCTTTGTTTCATTAGACACAGAGGACAGTATGAATGATCATGAAGATACAAATGGCTCAAAAGAGAGTTTTAGAGAACAAGATATATATCTTCCCATTGCAAATGTGGCAAGGATAATGAAAAATGCCATACCTCAAACAGGAAAGGTAATACTTTCTCTGGTAAAGAAAGTGTGTTAATGAGTTTTATTCCTTCTTCTGCATGAATTTGAGTTGGTAGAACAATATATTTTTCCAAATATTCATGGTTTATTGGAGAAAAGGAAAAGAAAAGAAAAGAAAAAAATCTGAGCAGCAGGTGATTGAGACCAAGTCTATTTTTCTTAGGTTTCTGAAAACTTTTGCTGACTGCTGTAATGAGAGTATCCAGAACAGCGTTCTTCACAGGGCTTTCAAGGGCTTTCTTTTTCTAAGATGTGTTCTCTGAAATTGTCATAATGGGTCAGAATTGGTGACAATCCCATATCAGTAAGAATATTTTATATGCAAGTCTCTTATAAAATTTAATCTGCTTTTATTGAGGTGCATAAAATTTGGAATAAGTGAACCATTTTGGATGAAATAAAAATCTGTTCCTCGTCCTGAAGGAAACAGAATGGTTAGTCTTCCATCGCCCAAATTTTTACGTATCCAAACACCAAAATGACCTAAGTCTGCCTTATACCATGTAGCAGATAAGACCAGATATTGAAAGACTTATTTTATTTCTTACTTCTAAGAATAGACTTTTTAATCCATTCTGCTGAGCTGGTGATTGTCTAAGCGTATTCCAATACAATTCCTGCCCAGTAACATTTCCTCTAGCTAAAGCTGTGGATTTTTTTTCTTCCTTTCATTTTTTGAGATCACTCTAAATAGAAGCAAGAGTAAATTTTGTCGCATCTGCTTGTACTTTGATAGTGTTCAGGCCTTTCTGGAGATCTGGGTGTTACATTTGTATCTTAGCTGTGAAAATCTCTTCACTAGCCCATATTGTCATAAAATTTAGTGATTAAGATGAGATTTTTCTCAAGAATTTAGCATATGGGATGTCGAGCTCTCTTGTAAAATCAGGGAGGTTTTTGTGGAAAACTGCAAGGGAAGCTGCTGGCTGATGAGTTCTTCTGAAAATCTCGCCCTGTGTGACTGAAAATATCGGAGGAACTAGCAAAGATTCTACATACAGTTCCTGCTTCATTATTTTTTAAAAAATGCAAACAGGTTCTTCTCATGTGAAGAATAAGAATCTTAATTATTATAATCTTTCAGTTGGCTCCTGTCAGCTTCCCAAATAATCATGAGTAATGCTTGCTGTTATTTTAAGTCAGGTAAATTACTTTTGTCCAGCTGAAAACTGTAATCAAATTTACTTACTTCATTCTTGCCAGGGGCATATGTTTCTTCATTTGAATTCTCATTTAGAAAATTTATACCAGATTATTAAAGCACTAGAGAAGCTTGCTGCTAGGCATGTATTCTAGTCCCTGAATCTGGACAGGATAAAAATACTTGTCATTGCTGAATTTGTGGAAATGTACTGCAGTGGGATTGGAACTGCTGGGTCTATTAAAAGGAAGATGGAAGTGGGCTATGACACTGTAATGGACAGGTTTAAAGAGAAGGTGTAGGTAAGGAAAGTAAAGGATACTGAGATGCATCTATATGTAAAAGCTTGTGTAGTTTCGACGTCAGGAGATCCTGGCAGTTGGCTGTGCTGCTTGAAATAGTAAAACTTATGTTAAAATCATGTTGCAGCTGTCCTTACATAGAGCAGTGATGACATCCAGTAGTTCCCTCACATACAGGTGTTGCCTAAATGGGTATTACCATGAGATGATATGTTTCCTTTTTCATCTAGTGTATTTTTGTTTGGTTTTTTAAATCTTCTTACATCTTGATTAATCATTTTATGATACTTTTTTCTTACTAGATTGCTAAGGATGCAAAAGAATGTGTGCAAGAGTGTGTAAGTGAATTCATCAGCTTTATAACGTCAGAAGCAAGTGAGAGGTGTCACCAAGAGAAAAGAAAGACCATCAATGGAGAGGATATTCTCTTTGCCATGTCTACCTTGGGGTTTGATAGCTATGTTGAACCTTTGAAATTATACCTCCAAAAATTCAGAGAGGTTGGTGTATTCTTCAGTATTTCCTCATTTATTTAACCTGATTGTGTTTATCTTTAGCTCCCTGTCTTTGTAATTGTATAATGGATAACTTGCACAGTATCTCACAGCTATTGTCAGGGACTAATGCAATGTCTAAAAGCATTCCAGAGGATATAAAGAGAAAAAGGAGTAAGTAAGCATTTTGATTAGACTTGCTGATTCAAAGTAGTTAAAGCTTTCAACTGAATAAATTCTCTAGTATATAGCTGGTAGTAAATCACTGTGTTCTTTAAAGGTGCCTATTAAGAATACTTGATTCCATCTTCGGGTTCAATCAATAAAACTGTACTAGACTGCATCCTTGGAGGAACTAGCCTAATTCCTATTGCTTGTCTGGGCTTCAGATCTGCAAAAGAAAAAGTTGTTTTTCTCATGTTGGAATAATGATTCACATGGAAGTCTATCTGCTTCAATGTTTTTTTAATATGTTTTTTTTATGCTGTCCCTCTGTTTGCTTTTGATACATAGTACTTTGTAGGTATGTGATCCAAGCAGTTTAATTTATCCTTTCTCTAGCAAAAAGTGACCTTTTTTTTTTTCCTTTCAGCAATTTAAACTTTTTGAAAAAGATGTTGCTTCTGCTTGAGTTTTTTGTTCTGGTCCCCTGTTCCTCCACCTCCTATCTGGAGACTGAAGAGAATTATGCTTTCTTGCTTCTTTACTTTGGTGTTCTTTTACCCTAGAATACCAGATTTAACCAAACAAATCAAAGGTATTTTTCTCTAGTTACCTCTCTTCCTCATAGTCCTGAATGAGTAAGTTGTTCAGGGTTAAAATAATCCTGGGGAAAAAACCTCAAAGCAGATTAATTTAATTTTTTGTTTAAAGTGGATCCCTCTGTTGGTATGGCTGCTTGGTTTTACTAGCATGAGTGAGTCAGGTATGTCTAAACTGGCAGTGTTGTAGATAGAGATGCTCTTCTGACTCTTTGTTCTGTAAATTTAAGGTTTTTGGTTAATGGGGTCAGACTTGCTAGTGATATTTAATTTGCTGATAGCACTTGAAGCTTCTCCTTCCCAGAAGATCATTTGCTGTGCTAACTGAGTAACAGGAGGTGCAGTCTGAAAGTTGAAGTACTGCTGTGTGCTGTCTTGTTCCAGTTCTTTGTAGCAGTTGCACGTGCCGTCAGAGTGCTGTACGTGCTTCAATTAAAAACGCAAGTAGTGCCTAACTAGCTTCAGTACTTCCAATGAAGTCTGAAGTCGGTCTGTGCTACTTATCATTCTGAAGTGACCATTTTTGCAGATGTATATGCTGTGGTAACAGACTGGTGGGAATGGATTTTGATTAGATGGATAGATTGGATGATTTTGCTCATCCGTTTTAAAACTCCATTCCAGCTAGTTCTGTCTTCAGGGTACCATATGTAGTGAAGTGCTTCTGTTCTGTAGTTTAGTATTTAGTCTACATCAGAGAATACTTTTTGCACCTATATTATTTTTCTTAGATGTTCTTATGTAATAGCATAGAGCATCAAACTTCATACTTGTAAAACTGCATGCAGATGACTGGGAGCCTTGGCGTTCTGTGCTGATATCCTTTTGGCTGTAGTCCTTGGTGTAGGAAAAGAGATCCAATATCCTCGTTTTAAATGTCAACTCTTAGTTGTATGATGATGGCACTTGCATGTGGTTGGTAAGCAAATGTTGCACGTTGTCAGTAGTTCAGAGATGCTGTGATTTCTTGTAAATGCTCTTAACTGTTCTGTCTGGATTACTGCAAATCTTTGACTTTCTGCAGAAGGTGAAAGCCTTTCTTAGAACTACACAATCCTAGTTTGCGGAACTTTTGTTTCTGAGGAGCATGGCTAAAATGAAAAACACTCTTCATGTATTCTTGTAATATGTATGTTCTTAAATCCAATAGAGTTTCATGGGTTTGGATTTCAAACTCAGGCTGCTGCACAGTGACTCTTCTGCAAGTTCCAAACCTTGGCTAGAGCTCCTGGGATCTTGAAACAATGTCAAGCCAATTGTACTCTAATACATTTCTTTCTTCTCCTCCTTCCAGGCAATGAAAGGAGAAAAGGGAATTGGGGGAACAGTTACAACTGGAGACAGTCTAGGTGAGGAGCTCACAGAGGAAGCATTTAGTAAGTGACACTTTTTAATTTATTATATTTTTACTCTGGTCATAAAACTGGCTGGAAATTAAGAATCTAAATATTGCAGGGGACTTACAGAAAGCTTTATTTTTTTTTAATATGACTATTTTAATTTTATAATTAAAGATTAGGTGATGCAAATAGTAAACTCTTATCCGTACTCTCTTGTATATAATAGCTTTGGTTCAGAAGTAGTAAGGCACTAGCACAACTATAGGCCCAACTTACTTACCTTGGGTATATTGATAATGGTTTCTGGATTGGAGCTGTTGGGAGTCTGTCCAGCTTGGAACTTCTCAAATCAATATATAGGAATTGTTCTAAAAGCGTTACTTTGTATATTTAAACTGCAGCTCAAGAGTAGAAGGAGAATATATAGTTGGAAACTTCTGATTGCATCTGCATCCAGAATCTTATTTTGTCTGGGCAAAGAGGCAAATTCACAAAAAGCTTTTCTTCTGCATGCTCATGCTCTGCTTAGCTGAGTACAACGCCCACCAGAAAATGGAAACCAGAAAAAAGGAATCCCCTTAAAACTGTGACTCCTCTGTCGCCTTCCCAAATTGGATATGGTCCCTGTTAAATGGCAGAAGGCTGAAGATCTGCTCCTAGTCACTTGTTCAGATATCTCAGGCCTAGGAGCCTGAGTGTGCTCTATGAAATAAGCCCTAATTTGCTGTGATTTGAAAAGAGCAACTTTGGAAGTGAAATTTAAGTCTTTGCAGGATGCAAAGGAGATGTTGCAGTAGTAGAAGAAGGAGGAAAGAAAATTTTCTGTAAAATCACTGACGGTGTCAAGTGCTGCAGGTGTTTCCCTCCATAGGGGCAGCTATAGATGTACTCGGAGCAATGGTCTCACCGCAGCAGCAGCAGTAATAGCTGCACTACTGTGGCCTAACGCTTACCCTGTTGTCTTAGCCCAATGCCAGGGCTGAGTCAGAGGCTTGGCATTAAACTGTTGGATGTGGAACATGCGCATTGAAGGGCAGTAAAACTTTGGACCTGCCCGAGCCACTTCTCACTATGATCTTACTGCATCTCTGAACTTGCAACTTAAATATTTGACAATTAGTACAATGAAGGTAGGGAAAAACCCCACAGCCACCAACCAAAACCTCCATTTTAAAAACCCCTAAGCATCAGCTCTTATGGATTACACTGTGTTTTCAGAATTTTTTTGTGGGTTATACATCTAATTTATACATAGTAACAGCCATATTTCAGAAAGAAAAAAGGCCCATTGTTTGTCTCCTCGTGGGAAATGTTATGCTACAGTGACTTTTAAGAGTTTTGCTGCTTTTCTTCCAAGTAGCAGTTGTAACGTATCTACTCTATAATCTACTCTAATCTATATTTAGATTAGATATAAGGAAGAAATTTTTCACTCAGAGGGTGGTGAGGCAGTGGAACAGGTTGCCCAGAGAAGCTGTGGATGCCCCATCCCTGGAAGCATTCGAGGCCAGGTTGGATGAGGCTTTGGGCAACCTGGTGTAGTGGAGGGTTTCCCTGCCCATGGCAGGGGGGTTGGAACTAGATGATCTTTAAGGTCCCTTCCAACCTTAACGATTCTATGATTATACTCTGAATGTCTCAGAGCTCAGCATACGTGTTACTGTAAAGGTTTATCTTAGGGCATCACTCCTGGCGTTTTCTCTCTGCATCTCAGAAGTACTTTTTACTCCGTTCCTTGGCCTCCTCTCCCCTCTGTGACATTCAGAGCTCTTGTGCAGCACCCTGAAGGACAGGCTGAAGTCAACCAGTGTAATGTCAGGTCTTAGGCTTCCTATCAATGCCTTTGCCTCTGGCAGTGCCTTTGTTTGTCATTGCCTGTCTCTGGTCATCTCCGCCACCTTCCATGGGGCTTCCACGTTACGCAGTCCCTGAGGGATCCTGTTTTATAAAGCAGTGTGACGTTTTCAGGGACTTCCTCATGCACGTGTATGCTGACCTTATGTCTAAACAAAACAAACTCTCCAAGTTTCTCAGGATATTGAATGCTGGAGATTGCATTTTCCAATGGTCAAGATAGCAAACTCCACTCCATTCGCCAGCGTACAGCTGTGTATGTTCTGCTTCAGATACGTACAGGGGAAGAACAAGCTGCAGTCTTACTTTTAGATTGATGCAAAATTAATTTGAATTTTTTTCTTAAGTGCTAATGGGAATAACTTGTTGACTTGTGTGTAAGTGTGTCGCAAGTGTGACTGTAAGCAGTGCAGGATGGTAGCTGTCAGGAGAGGAGCAGCTCCATAGTCCCCGAGCGGACCACAACTAAAGGTTACTTAGTGGTGACACACATCAAACAAGGCTCCGGGTATCCCGCAGTTCCTGTCTAACGTTCTTAAAATGCTCTTTCTTTCAGCTAACCAGTTGCCAGCAGGCTTAATAACCACAGATGGCCAACAGCAGAATGTTATGGTCTATACAACTTCATATCAACAGGTACTGTGTCCCATCCCCTGCTCTCCCTTCTACTGCTAAAATTCAAATTTTAGTTCAGCTTCCCTGTTCTGAAAGATGATCAGAGGGCTAGAGCACCTCTCCTATGAAGACAGGCTGAGAGAGTTGGGGTTGTTCAGCCTGGGGAACAGAAAGCTCTGAGGAGACCTTCCAGCAGCCTTCCAGTACTTAAAGGAGGCCTACAAGAAAGCTGGAGAGGGACTTTTGACAAGGCTATGTAGTGATAGGACAAGGGGCAATGGCTTTAAACCAGAAGAAGGTAGATTTAGATTAGAGGTAAGGAAGAAATTCTTTCCTGGGAGGGTAGTAAGGCACTGGAACAGGTTGCCCAGAGAAATTATGGATGCCCCATTCCTGGAGGCGTTCAAGGCCAGATTGGATGAGGCTTTGAGCAACCTGATCTAGGGGAAGGTGTCCCTGCCTGTGGCAGGGGGCTTGGAACTAGATGATCTTTGAGGTCCCTTCCAACCCAAACCGTTCTATGATTCTATAATTTTGTTTTGTCTTTTGGTGTTGGCTGTTGTGACATTCCAACACTTGTGACAATTCAAGGCTGCTAGCTGTGATGCAGTTTCAGAAAAGGTGCATTTGAATCTGAGCTTGCATTTTCTTTCTCTAGATCTCTGGTGTTCAACAAATTCAGTTCTCATGATTTGAAGAAAACTTTGGATCTGGGAACACGAGACGGAAAAGCTGTGCAGCTCTAACTAAGAGGCAGTTTAATGACTGGTGAAGAGATTTATCTCTTTGTATATTAAATAGCTGTAATGTAGCTACCAGAAGCTTGACTAATTGAGGTGTGAATTCTGACTCAAATCTTTTTCATGATGATTTTAAAAAAATAATAATTGGATTTTAAAGGTATTAAAATATTTTTGTTTTGTACAAGAGTTTGTTGCTCTGTATAACTCCTGTATGCATTGTATATTGCAATTTATTACTGTCAGAGATTTGTAGACAGTTTCTTATTTTCATATTGAATCATTTTACTTTTGTAATTCAGGTAAACAGCTGGGTTAATTCATGTTTACCCTTTGAATAAAATTGTAAGGGTAAAGTTCATTTTTGAATGCAAGTTGCCTTTATTATAAAGATTGAGTTGGTCTTGGTTATGTAACTTGTCTTGCATGACAACCTCAACTAACTTTACATGTCAGCATATTTATTGAAATTTTGAAAGGGACATTTTCCTCGTGAAACTAGTGGCTTAAGAATTGATACAACTGGGTTTTTTATGTAACTTCAGAATTAAAAGTTAATCAAAACCAAACAATGCTCTACTACATTTAGAGACTTAGAGCTTATCAACCGTATTGATGAACACTGACTGTGTGTGATGCAGGTCTTCATTTCATTTCATTTTTTTTCAGTTGCATTAACGCTCCTTAGACTTACTTTGATATATTTGAGGTAGTCTTTGTGCTACTGAAAGAATTCTTCCTTTTTATGTATGGTTTTTAGAATCCAAAACTTAGAAGCT